TCAATTAATTAACTTGGTAACAATTAAATTTGGTCTCTTAAAATTCCAATCTTATCAATTAAGCCAAAATTAGGCTCCCGAACTTAATTTTTCACCAATTAAGCCCAAAATAAAATTAATTTGACCCATGTAAAGTACAATTAACTTATTGCACTTAATTAAATCTTTCAATTGGACCCAAATTAATTCTTAAACATAATTAAAATTTAATTTGGCCCATGATCAAATCAAATTGGCATATTAAAACTTTAATTATGTCATTAGACTTAATTTTATGCAAATTTATCCAATAATCATTTAATTTGACCATGAATTTGTATTTTTCTCGATTTTTGGGCATAATAAGATACAACTAAGCTTTGAATTTTCTCAAAACATTATAGCTTGATTTTTGCCTATTTTTGTAGCCTTCCTTGATCTGCTTTCTTTGCACTATCAGCCTTTATTTTATTATTTTATTTTTATTTTTTAAAAAATAATTTTTAAAAAATAACTCAGAATTAAGTTATGACAGTCAGATCGGGACTAAGTTCAAGGACTTAAAAGTCAAGTTCAAAATGCTTAAAGGGTTAAGTTTGGGGGCCTAAAAAGCCTAAAATTCAAGCTAAAGTCTCATTTATAATGCCCAAAAGTCAAGTGAATTTTAACTTAGGATTGTGTTTTAGACATCCAAAGGTAAAGTTGAGATTGAGTTTTAGATATAAAAAGGTGGAGCCACTAATCAAGGACACCTACCAAAAGGTTAAGCTAGATTTGAGTCCATGATATATAGGGTTTAGGGCACATGAATTTCAAATTTAAGGAGCTCAAAGGTCAAAGAAATAATAATATTTAAACAACTCGAGGGTTAATATAAAGTCAAGTTGGAGGCATGATGAAGTAATATTAGATTGAATCCATGTCATTCTAGTATAAAGTTAAGAAAGAAGTTATAGTGCTCGAGCTAAGATTGGGAAGGCATTAGACCTAAGTTACCCAACGGTTATTCCAATGTGTTAATGATTAAGTAAGGATAAGGTTCAAGGTTGAGTATTACAACAAAAGCTAAAAGGTGTGGCGCATTTTATATCATATAACAATATTAGTAAAATATCCCAAGATCATACTGGTACTTGATTATGTGAGATATTGTTCAAATTCTTCATTTTTTTATACAGTTTTAGATTTTTCCAATTGATTTTTTTCAAATTTATCTTTTCAATTTCATCCTTCAATATTAAGTTGGTTTGGAATTGAACTTAATAATTGTTTTTCTTTTGTTTTACCTTTCTATAAGGTTACCATGAAGTCAAAAAAAACATTTTGATCATATATTTTATGATCGTCTATTTTTTTAGTATTTAGTTAAATGAAAAATGATTTTGAAAAAAAAACCAAGTTATTAAAATTTAAAAAGTCCATAAATTAGTTTGTGAGTTTAACGGAGTAACTTGGGCTGCCTTAGTTTGCAGGTTTGACGAGGTACCATTTTTTATTTTCTTTTTAATAAAACTCAATTAAGTGATAATATTTTTCATATATAGTATTGTAAAAAAAAATATTTTCTTAAAAAACATGTTGTTTAACATTATAAATTCCATAAGCTCATTTGTGGGTTTGGCAGGTTGGCCCAATTCACAACTTTAGTGGGTTTAATTTCAATATATATACTTTAATATTGAGTTGAATTGGATTTAGTTTTATAATTTGTTTCATTTCATTTTTAATAAGGTTATTATAGTCTGAAAAAAAAATATTGGTATTATGTTGGTGCTTTACTTAACTATTATCTATTTTTGTTGTTCTATAATTAAATAAAAAATATTTTTGTAAAAAATATAATTGATCAGAGTGGAGTCCATAACTTGGTTTACTGGACTGGCATGTTAATTAGCATTATTTGATTCACATGTTTAACAGACTTACTAATTAAATCTAATTTTGTTTGAGGTCCTTTATTTTTTTATTGATTTTCTTTATTTTTTCCTTCATTATTGGATTAACTTCAAGATTTTTTTTTCCTACTTTCTATATAGTTACAAAGGTCTCAATCTAACATTTATTCCAAATTGATGTTTAATATATAGAGTATTTATTTTTTATCATATAATTAAATTAAAAAAAATTATTAAACGTAGTAGAATTCATGACTTGAGTTATGAGGTGATTGAGTTGATTTAATATTTTATTATTTTAATGTTTTAAAAATTTATCATCTCTAAGTTTTTTTTAAAATAAATCATGTTTTTATTTATCATTTAAATTATTTTTTTACTAGTAAAATCGATCAATTCACATCTAACAATAAGCTAGGTTAGAAAATTTTAAAATTAACTTACTTCTCCAAGTTTAGTGATGTTATCAAAAATTATTTGGTTGATGTATAGGTTAGAAAATTTTAAAATTAACATACTTCTCCATGATGTTATCAAAAATTATTTGGTTGATGTTGACATTCCTAAAAATTATCCAACTCACAAAAAGAATTGACATTCCAACTCACAAAAAGAATGGAAACTAGTTAAATTATTTGATTCAAATTATGTGTATTAAAAAAAAGAATATTATTCAATCAATTTATAATTTCAAACTAATGCCTTCGTCCTACTTTTAGTATCACTTAGTTAGTTTTTTATTAAAAAAAATAAATTAAAAAAATGAATGTCATGCTTGGATTTATAATTTCAAACAATTTATAAGTTTTTCATGGCTCGCTAGATATTAGTAGATAATTGATATTATTTTTTTATGAATGAATTACTTTAAATGTTTATTTGGAAATTAATTATAATTGTTTATTAAAATATTTTTTATGCTAAAATATATTAAAATAATATTTTTAAATTTTTTAAAATTATTTTTTAATTCATTACATCAAAACTATTCAAAATATATAAAACATATTTTTTTATAAAACACGAGCTATATTATATTTTTAAGCAGTGACTAAATATTGTTTTTTATCATTGGGTCTATTATTATTTCTGTGTATATAGTGTATTTCCCAGTACATCGCATTAAGTTTAGAAGATTTATTTATATATAAAAAAAAGTTTAGGAGATTTGTGGTTTATATATTCATGCTATCCTCATTTAATATTGTCATTTCTTCCTTTTATTAAAAAAAATATTGTATTTCTTCTTCATAAAAACTATTGATACTTCTCCTTTTGCTTTCTTTGCTTATAGAATTATTATCACTTCAATTTCAAATAAGTGTCCTATTTTAAGTCCTCATGTTCTCCAACAATAATTTCTCGACAAAAAATGAAGAAGCATGGTCGTAACATAATTTCTCCAACTGTCATGTTACAACAGTAAGATTTTTTTGTCTTCATTCTATTGTATTGCTGATGTTTTTTTTAAAAAAAAAATCAATAAAAAATATATTAAAATTCAATTAAAAATATATTAAAATCATGTATTTTTTTTAAAAAAAATATTTTTAATATTAAAACATTAAAAATATAAAATAAACTAAAAAAATAAAATCTACTATAATAAGAAACATGCACTCACATATTCTTCAGCTTCTCTAAGAGCTTTTCCATCTATAGTTAAGTATGAAGTTTGAGCTTTCAGTTTTTTTCTTTTCTTTTCTATCGTTTATGGTGTGGATTTTAATTTGGAATATTTTTTTTTATTTTTTTTTTTGAATATTTTAGAACTACTAATACAGGACATAATGTGGATTTTAATTTGAAATATTTTAGAACTACTAATACAGGACATAACATAATCCACACATGTACTAACCTGAATAAGCACAATAAGTTCAAGGACAGGGATTGGATGTGCAATAACACAGTCACAATAAGATATGTACTTGATTTAGTGTATTTTAAATGTTTGGGATTTTTTATCGGTAAAGTATTTTAAATAAAAAATTTAATTAGTCTTTCATAAATACACACCTCGATTATGATGATGGATAAAGTTGAGATACTGTAGTGGTGCTCCTCCCATTTGCATGTGCCCAGATAAGATTTGTGTAAAAGCTGGATCAAGCTTTGATTAAAACCTTAATGAAGTGACACCCAGCTAAGAAGGACATGGGTGACGAGAGTTTTCCTTTGGCAGTGTCTTCCATTCCAGTTAGACTGCGTGGACTCCGCATGGGTGCTGCAATCAGCGCCCTTCATTTTTTATGTGGACCTAGAATCTTAGCCTTTTGAGTCAATTCTCCTTTAGTCTTCAAGTTTCTAAAGTATTATAACCTAGTCCTTCATGTTTGAAGATCTATAACTTAATCCCTCGATTATCATCGATGGTTGTCTTGTTGAAATGTTTTCATTTTTCTCTAAACCCCATTATAGTGGTTTTCCTCTGATAACTGAAATGTTTTCTTGAAAAAAAAGGACTAAGTTGCAATACGTTTCAAGAGATGGGTCCTAAAGAATAATTTACTCTTAAACTTTTCAGTCACTTTCCTCTTTCTATTTTCCTTTCCTGACTGCCGTCTATGCTTGATATTTAATGCATATCTTATGGCAAACCCATGTGAATTGCCTCTCCAGCTAAACTCCACACACATTTTACAAGATTTTCCCATCCCATCAATCATGTAATGCTTTCTCATATCCTTGGTTTTGGGTTTGCTGTTAGTTATTGCGAGGCTGCACTCCTTTCCAGCGTGTATTTTATGGCAGATACCTGTAATTCTTGTTTTAGTTCATGTTGAGAGCTCTTAGGCCTTGGCTTCTCATTTGAGACTAACATTTCACCAGAGGAGGGTTTTTATTTCATTAATTGGGTAGACTCCAGGAGTTTCCCTTTTCTTTTAAGTAATTTTTTTGTATTTTCCAACATAAGTAGTATTGCATTTTTCCTCTATTTTATTTTGGCTATGATGGGTTTTTGGTTCTTTGTGAATTCCTTACGGAAGTTCTTCTGATAGAACACAGAAGGATTTATCTTTGTTTAATATTCTGATATTTTACGTTGAATATCAGATGAGAAAAACTTTGAGCAAAATTCAACCAAAGATTAGTTGTTATTGAGATGTGAATTTGCATTCCAGCATGACATCTTTCAGTGAGTTAGGTATTGGTTTAGGGCTAGTCTTCGGTTGCCTTCTTTTAGCAATTGTTGCCGAGCTTTACTACTTGCTATGGTGGAAGAAGAGAATCAGCAACAGAGAAGTCGAAGAAGATGATGGTTATAGCAGCAACTATGCTACGGGATTCTTTCATCTTATTTGCTGGAAAAAACCCTCCTTTTTCAGAAGTAACATTACTCAAGATGGTGTGAGAGATCCAGAAGCCCCTTGCCAAGAACCAGACCAAGAATTAGGCTCGAGCAAAGATTTGCATATAAAAGCATTTGGTGAAGAAAGTGTGGAATCTGAGATCATGAGGCTGCACAACCTTTGTGGTCCACCTAGATTTCTCTTCACTATAAAAGAGGAGACAAAGGAGGACTTGGAGTCTGATGATGGGAGGTCCAGAGGCGATAGGAGCAGAAAGGGGTCGAGGACAAAAAGCTTGAGTGATCTTATGGTCACTATTGACACCCCATTCCTTTCTCCTTTGGCTTCTCCACGTTTAAAATCCCCTCCTTTCAATGTTTTTGATTCTTATCATCACCATGGATTCAATCCACTCTTTGAATCATCAGTGGAAGCAGAGCTTAGCCGGCTGAGATCTTCCCCACCTCCAAGATTCAAGTTCTTGAGGGATGCAGAGGCGAAACTGTTTAGAAGGTTAATGGAAGAAGCCGAGAACAGGGCATCTAAAAATTGTGTTTCTGTTCAAGATTCATCGGAGATTAAAGTATCTAATTCAACGATGATAACAGAAGAGACAGGAGGGTCTTTTTTAGGCTTTATTGTTGGCCAGAACAAAGAAAGTGAAATTCTACATCGTCTACCACAATATCATTCAAGTTCTTCTCAGGTACTCCCATTGGCTTCTTCCCCTACAACATTCAGACCCCTCGACAAGAAGCCCGCTGTGCATTAATTTAATTTTCTGTAAATTGACATGAAATGAGGCTTTAGTTATTACTCTTGTTACTTGCCAAGAAGTCAAGAAATAGTCTTACCTTAGGCATTCTACGTTCTCTCTTGTTACTTGCCAAGAAGTCAAGCAATAGTCTTACCTTAGGCATTCTACGTTCTCTATTCTATAACCGGTACCAATTTACTTTTCAAAGTGAATATTTGTGTGCTAATATTTCAAAATTTTGTGTTCATATTTCATTTGGATCGTCCATGAACAGCCACTGCCAGTGTGCAATATAATGGTTCGGCATGGAACCTTGAATATTCCAAGGCAAACTGACAGCTTCTGCTTGCTTCAGTTCTGTTCAGCTGTTAGTGAGCTCACGGGGGGTGTCTGGTGGGGTAATCTGTTTTCTTTCATGATAGATGTCTCCAGTCATTTAAACTAGTAATCATTCGTATGGTAGATTGGGCCACCAATTCTCATTATCGAGCGGGCACCCTAATTCTTCGATCAAGATGGTGCTCTAATCACTACTCTCGCTTCTTTTCATGCTCACTTTCAGTCTCTGCACATGGCTTCATTTAGTTGGTAAAATTGTTAAAATAAGTTGAATTTCTGGCAAATGTCGTTGAGGCCAGAAGTAAGAGCTGAGATAAGGGCTTGTTCTCCACTGAGCTATCCACTGAAAAGAAAAATGGATACTAATATTTCAATTATGACTTGGATTTGGTGACAAAAAGATCACAATGGTGTCCAGCTAATTGCTGCTAGACATTGTGCTAGAAGTTTAGGTTTTAAAAGTACTCTAGTTGAAAAATGGATACAAAACTTTCTGGTTTATGAACTTCCTCATTTCAGGCCTTCTGTTTTTCTCAAGAATGCCTCCAATGCTTTGAGTTATATAATAAGCGGTGGTCCTCATCCATTCTTGGAATTTCCCTTCACTCTTTAACCTTTTATCGACTCTCTTTTGTAACTCCTTTTATTTTATTTTATTTTTGAGAAAAACATTCTGAATTTTACCCCTTTTTTTCCTCTGTCTCTCTCCCTTCTGAGATTCCCTCTTTCTAGTTCTTGGTTTCAAGAAAGTTTCCAAGAAACATGATTATAACTACAAATCTTAACGAAGGAAACATAAGCAGCATGCTTTCGTAAAGATATTGACGACGACGACCATGATGATAGCGCACTCAATGCCAACAAAATTATATATGTTTTGCAAGTAATGGAGGGTAAGGGAAAAAGAAACATAAGATGACGTCTTAAAAGAAGGCATTTGAATTTGCCTGTAGCCAAGTCTTCAACAAAAAGTGACAAGGTAGAGAGGAGTGGAGGAGGGTTCATGAGCTTCTACCTAAACAACAAGAAATGTCATTGTTATCACGCGATTCGACCGAAAGTTGCCCCCAGAAAGAAGTGCTAATTACTTTCAACACTCTTGACAAAAGATGCTAAATCCCTTCAGCACTCTGACAAAAGATTTTGAAATTTTAAAATCATGATGTTTGAAACTGCAGTAATAATTATTAAAATAATTATTTATAATATTAATATATTAAAATAATTTTAAAATATGTAAAATTTATTTTTTAAATTTAATCCAATCTTCGTTTATTTTGCAATGTCAAACGGGGCAAAGAAAATACTGAGCTCTAGCGTGTAGAATTTAAATTGGAAAATGGCATGTTGCGTTTTGCTTGTGCAAATTAGACCAAACCCTCAAGGGATCTTTTAAATCCATTTATGGAATGTTTATTTTTATGTTTTGAAAATATTTTAAAAAGTTTTATTTTTTATTTTAAATTAATATTTTTTTAGTATTTTAAAATTATTTTGATTCATTCATGTTAAAAATTATTTTTATATATTTTTAAATAAAAATTATTTTAAAAAACAACTTCCATCATATTCTAGCATCCACAGTAACAACAAATCACTCATGGTTCCGGGTTCCTGTTGATTTTTCTCAGAATTTCTTCTTCTAATCGATGTTCTATTGTAATTTGGATCTGGGGTTTGTGACGTGTGTCATCTAGATAGCCCACTTCAACGCCATTGATTATTGTTGGCCTTTCAGATATTCTGAAGGCTGTTGTCTCACGTACGCATATAGGAGAATAGGCGGTCAGGATTGTTATTTAAAAAATAAAAATAAAAATGAAAATGAAAATGAAACTTGAGGTGGG